CCCGGTCCGTGAAGGTTTTGGGGGCCAACTTGGCCGAAAACCGAAACCCGAAAGCCGAGGTGCCAGGAGTCCTGTGGAGACGCGGATGAGAAGCTCTTCGCCTCTTGCAGCTGGGCAAAAAAAAGGCTTTTGGATCAGGCAAGCCCTAGCAGGTTAGGACGTGGTTTCCCGTTTACTCAGTTTACTCTGCACAAGAACCAGCCCAGCAATCCAAAGAACCAACTACTGTGGATGGACGAAATCCGTTCGCACCACTTTGGAGCCATGGTTGAAGCCATAACGTTTGTTGATATTTATAGGGAATCATGATGCCAGGGTTTCTTAGGTGGTGCAGGATTTCATCCATAGTAGTTGGTTCTTTGGATTGCTGGGAACTGGGGACTAGCCCTGGTTCTTGTGGAGAGTAAACTGAGTAAGCGGGAGACCACGTCCTAACCTCCACCACCAGCTAGATTGAAGCTGATCAGCGAAACCAAGCAGCAAAAACCAAGGCAAGGTTCTGGGAGAGGCAAGAAGCTGGTCAAGTGAGAACAAGCTTATCGAATTGCAGGGGTAAAACGAGGGTATAGCTCACTTCCTGAGCTCGTGGGCTTTAAACTGGTGGAGACAGTTGTAGCGGTGAATAAGCAGTTTGGTTACTTTTGTTGGCCCATCGACTCGGGAAGTGAGATACAATTTGCCGCATTTTGCACTTCGAGAACCTTCCGAGGGCCCAATTCCCCAGTTGAATCTGCAGCTTGCAGTTTTCCAACTGGTTCAAAGGGCCACCGACTGGTGCTTAATTGCAGCGTCTTAAGTGTGCAGTGTGTTTTTTTGCCTTTTCAGAAATTCCTTTAAATTTGGACTGGGCGCTTATTTTTTAGATCGAGGGCAAATTTCTTGAAATATGGGGGGGCTTACCCCAATCTGGGCTCAGCCCTCGCCGGGGCTCGTGCTTCCGTGCTTGACATGTTGGATTGCGCGCATGCTTCCGTCTACCAAGATTGGCAGAGCATTTTCTTTAGCAGCTTTTTGGAAAATATCACTTTCCTCAACGAATCGCGTGCGGATTCAGCGCATCAGCAGCACTCTTTATTCCAGAAACGCAATTGGCCAGTGGCTCGTGAAATTGCACATGAAAACAAAAGCAGCCACTGCCAAAACAAAGGCGGAAATTGCCGGAACAAAGGCGGAAATTGCCGGAAAAAGGCGGAAATTGCCGGAACAAACAACAGCAAGCTGCAAAACTGGTTTTGGCTGACATTCGCGCCATATTTCTCATTCCAAATCGGCCCCTCGAACTGACAGTGCTGGCCATGAGGGGATTCAGACGGCTCTCTGGTGGAAAACAACCTGCATGCAGCAACGGCCAATGTCGAAGAAATGGATGTCCAAATGAGCAGATCCAAATCAAAGGTTCTCACGTACAGGCTTCGAGAAGGCAGACAGACCAGGCAATGCGTCAGTGTGGCATTGCGCTGCGAAAGCTTTTTTTGAACACAAAGGCGATTTTGAAGAACAATGCCATTTTTTTGTGCATTTTCTCTCGAAGGCGTTTTTTCTGCATACGTGGTTGGTCCAGGTTGCAGCGGATTTTCTCCACAGTATGGCTGTACATGAGGTCTGCAGCTGTTACAAACCCTCTGCTCCAGGGAAAAGACACAAGAGCCGGAATTGTCTTGCGGCCTGCCGTGAGGTTTCGGTCGATCCACAAACCCCGGACTTCTCTTCGACAGACCTTGTGAAGACCCGCCCTGCAGCTCATGGCTCATTTGTTTGTTTTTGTTGACCACAAACTAGCCCTGACGATCAGCTTCCCGCTAGTTGGTTTGGATTGGTCTTGTAAGTGGGAACCCCATCTCTTGAACCACCAAAACACCAATCCAACCTGCCAAACACGGGGGAGTGAGCCCCCGGCTTCGGGATTTGAACTCCTGGTTCTTCAGGTAAGTGGGAAACCCATCTCTTTAACTACCAATCCAACCCGAACACGGAGCTGACACGAGCGAAAAATCCGCTCATCGAGCGGCGCCCGAGGCCAAGTGCAATTTTCGGCCCTGCAACTGCTGGCGAGGACTTGCGCGCCTCGGCTGGCAAAGCCGTCCTGCCAGAAAGAATCCGGGGGTGTCTTCCTTTTACCCCGTTTTTGTGGCAAAGGAAAGCCAAAAGGAAACCCCAACCTTTGGGGTCGTCGTTTTTTTTGCGGGACCCCCGAAATTGGCGGGTTTCCTTGTGGTCTTCAGAACCACCCATCAAAACGGGTATCCCCAAAAGACGAGCCGCCCATATCGGTCTGGACGGTTTCCGTTTAAGCAAGCGGGAGGCCGTTGGCAATGTTTCCACGCCCGACACCCTGAGAACGCTGCGGAGCACGTGCAACGTCTTTCTTTGGAGTCCGCCGGTGGGACATGGGTCTTGTTTTTTGAGTTGTACGCCTTTGGTTTCTGGCTTCATCAGGAAAGCCCCAGTTTAGTGGGTGCCCCCCAAAAAGTTGTAGGGGTTGAACCACAAGTTGAACCATGTCTTTTTGGGGGGTGCTACAAAACAAAGAGCCCCACATGAGTCCAACAATCCCTGGCTGGCTTGGGCCAAGCGGCTTCAAGAGTTGGAGCTCAGGTGTCCCTGGCCTTCCTGAAGACTTTTTGGGAAGGCCCCAAATTCTTTCTTAGGACCCTGGGGGTATAGCTCACTTCCTCACTTCCTGAATTCCGTTTCGGACTTTAAGCTTTTTGGGTTTGGATCATTTTGGTGGTAAGATAGAAGGTTGTGGGTTACTTTTTGTTGGCCAGTCTACTCAAGGAGTGAGCATTGCTGCAACTCTGGGGAGCGGGGGGCAAGGCGAAAAGCGACCGCTCAGGTACCCAAATGGGTCATCCACGACCAGCAGACGGATTGGCGACTGTATCAGACTCTTGGACTGCTGGTTTTCCTTGTCAAAGAGATTGACATGCATAGGTGTCCTGTTTTGGATAGTTTGGGTAGAAATAGATGGTACTGGTTTAGATGGGTGTCATTCCCTTTTACCAGGGCCATTTATTTTACCAAAAGCGGGGGGGGGGGGGGGACGGAAAATCGGTCCTCCTCTTGCTGAGTTGAGCTGGCGTTTTTGATCGCCCGCAAGTGGAAGAGGGTGCACCGCACCGCCGGCGCGGAAGCCTGCGGAAGGCTTCGCAGGGAAGTTCTTCGGAAGCTTCGTTGGACATGAGGTTGCTCAGTTTGCACGGAAAAGCACAGGGAGGGGATTGCAGCGGAAAGGTGTTGCTGCATACAAGAAGAGTGCTTAATAGAAGCAGTTGCCAACATCAAGCCACGAGAGCCGAAGCAGCCGGCGGATTTGGCGGAACGATTGCGGAAGGTTCGCGGAAGCTCCGCGGAAGGGTGCTCCAGTGTCAGCAGGCAAGTGCCCACGTACCGGTGGCCCAACGCAGCCCAAGCCTACACACGCCTCACCAACACGCAAATGACGTTCCTTACTTACTTGAACCGACTTTCCTTTGTGCGCCAAAGCTCGCGGAAGCAAACGATGACAAACATGTGCCGCGGAAGTCAAACAGGAAGGGACCTGATTGCTTGCGGCAAGGATGCAGAAGGGTCTGCGGAAGTTTGAAGAATGTCCAATCCGTTTAAAGGGGAATAGACAGCAGAAGTTGTTGTTTTTGTTTCTCTTTTTTTTTGTTTAGCGGAACAACAAGCAAGGCTCATTTGAAATGCCGCAAAGACGGCCGGCCATCTGAGCCAATCAACGATTCGGAGGGTTTGAGCAACTGCTCGTTGGGCCCACGGAAAAGAGAGGGAACATGGGCTGCTCAACGTTCGGAGCTCACCATAGGAAACCATATATAGGAAGCCATAGGAAACCGTAGGAAGCCATGGAAAACCGTAGGGAAACCACAGGGAAACCATGGGGAAACCACAGGGAAACCATAGGGAACATAGGGAAACCATAAGGAAACCATAGTTTCTTTTTCGGCACGGCATCCCTTCTCCATTGGTTTCCCTAGAGGGAAGCAGCTGTCTATATGGGTTCCTTGCGACTCAGGACAAGAGACACCATCCTTGGCCTCAGCCTTGGAACGAATTTTAGCGACTCCCCTCCAAGAACCCCCCCAAGTGGCAATATGGCCCTTCTGGCCTTTGCTGAAGAAGCGGGGTCAAGCCCTTGTTGGGAGAAGAGGGAGGGGTCTTTTGAAGAGCCAACGAGTAACCGCCAGGTCCAAGATAGACCTCCTTTCGTCAGGCCAAAGCCCTGTGTACTTCTCAAGTTGCAGCAGAGGTTTAGGTACACGTACTTACACACAGACCTTCAGGGTTGTGTACTTACGACTTCATACACGCACTTGCTTCAGGTTGAAGTCTTGTAGCAGCAACTCAAAAGGCAAAAAATGAGCGGTGCTGCTCAAGGCCAAGGCTGCCACTGCTTCAAAATCCCTTGGCAACTGCTGTGCCGAGGCATTACCAAGAGGTGTGGCAAGCCCATCAAGGACGACCCTTTCTTCAACTCGTAACTCGCGCTTTGCAAATGTCCAGCGGTCCAGCGGTCCAGCGGTCGGGTTCAAAAGGCGAGGCGAAACTGTGCGTTCCAAAGAGATTGTTTGGACGCGGACGCGGGGACCTGGGTCACACAGTGGCGGGCACTCAAAGTAGCTGTCCAGTCATGTTGAATGTGCGTGCGAAGCACGCGTGCGACATACTGGGCCAGATTGCCCAATGGTCATATAGCTCAATCCTTGCATGAGTCTCTTGAGTGAACTTGGCCCTTGCTCTTCGATGCACGCCGTGAATACCAGCGCGCCCCCTGTGTGCCATGGCCGAAGTGGTTGGATCACAAGCAACGGGGTGTGGTACGGCGACACCTGGGTTCTCCATAAGAAGCCCCTGTTGACATGCATGAAGTTTGGTTTATCCAACTATCACACACACACACACATGTGCGTGGATCACTGGGTTTTTCTTTGAGCCCAAAATTCCGGCAGCGCTGGTAGCATTCTGGGCTCCAGCAATTGGCAAATGCGAGTGCTCGCATGGCCAAAACCGGCCTGATCCATGTGAAGAGTGGAGGATTCATGGAAAGGCGAGGAGGCTTCTCTCGAAAGAGTTGCACGAAGTTGCACACGGCCAAGTCACCACTTGAAGGGCCTAGGGGACTCAAATATGTGCCTCCTTCACGCGGTGTTTTAACAAATCCCAGGGAGTCCCTTCCTGCTTTTAAGAAAGCACAACTCCCCCCCTGCCCCCTGTGTTTGGTTTACTGAACACTTGATCTCCTCCAACATTTGGCTCAAGGCCCCTTTTGTGTAACATTGCATCATTCATGATCGCGTGACAAAAGAACCTTTGCAGGCCGCTTACAGGATTATCCACAAGACAATCCACCAGGGACAATCCATCCTCCAATCATCCATAGTGGCATATTGGATTCTCTCCGGAATAGATCCAGGGACCAAATCAACGACCTCTAGTACCACAAAGGTACCAGTTCCCTTCTGGGATAGGTACCCCGGCAGTGGGCCTCAATTTGTGGTAGCAGAGCAGGTTTTCCGCAGAGATCCAAGGGAAGATGTCATCCGATGGAGAAGGCTTCATGGAAGCCTATTCAAGTATGGCAAAGCCACAAGGCTATACGGAGGAAGCACTCAATTTATCGATGACCGCCAAGCAGCCGCCATCGTGCGACGGAAAAGTCAGCTGGTTCAGGTATGAAGAACTCGTGGACGACTGGGTAACAATCACAACAGTGGAAGCATCCAAGAGAGGACCCTGATGAAGGAGTCAACTACTTTAAGAACACGCTGAAGAAGTACTTTTTGAGTGGTGCGACCAACGTGTATCTGTACAGGCTCCTCAGTTTCTTCAATCATAGAAGGCAGAACCAAGAGTTCCTCATTTTTACCTCAAAAATCGAAATGCTTCTCATGAGATTGAAGGCAGCATGGATGGACTTGATGCCAATTTTTACGGCACAAGTCCCCAACATTTCGACAATCCGTGCAGGAAGCAAATGCAAGAACAATTGCTCGACATCAGCAAGCAGCCGGTGTTCGAGCACCGCCTCCAGCCCTGCTCAGTCAGGATGATCCAGTAGTCCTCAGACAATATATCACGGGAATGCAGGACAGACAGCGGGACATTGCACAGTTTTTCATCATCCAGAGTGAACTGTCAGATCAGCAAAGAGAGAGACTGACAAGTGCAATGTCATTGAGAAACATCTCACTAGAAAACTACTCCTATGAGATGCTGAAGACGCACTACCACGAACTCTTCATCACGACAAGGACATCCATCCAAGATCCATCCATCCGACCTCCTTGAGGCAACCGAAGCAAGACATTCTTCATCATCGAACAAGCTGAATTTGAAGGAGAAGAAGGCTTCTGGGTTGAGGATGAAGAAGGACTTGAAGGATTCATGTCTATCAACGATGAAGAGACGTTTTGGGTCCTCGAGGAGAACGATGCGTTCATAGCAAGAAAAGTGTCGGGGCGGAACTTCAAGTTCAAGAAGAGAAAAGGAAAAGGAAAATCGGGAAACAAAAAGGGCAGTCACCAACGAGGTGGCTTTAAACCCTTCAGAAAAAGCGGTTCTGGCGGAAAGGCCAATATGGCCAACGAAAACTATGATCCCTACGACCAGGCATATTGGGGAAAAGGCAAAGGAAAGAAGGGAAAGAAAGGAAAATCAAATTCCAATATCCCTATGATGGAAACAAAGGTTATCCATCCTATGAGAATGGCACAGGAGAAAGGAAAATCCAAGACGTTCGCATCCACCGCAGAGAAGACGGAGGAGCAGCCCGCCATCCAGCAGACTGCACCATCCATAGAGCCCACCTTTGCCGGTTGGACAGACCAAGAATGGGATCAATCATGGACATGGAACGAACATGGCTGGTACTCATCCCATGAGACATCCAGCACAGGACAAGCGCTGATGGCATTCCATGATGCATATGAGCATCCTGAGAAAATGGCCATTGACGGGAAGCTGATCCAATCAGATACAGTTTCAGAACACAATCTGTCCGTCACAACAAATCACAGCCTTCTGGCAACAAAGCTGATGGCGCCTGTCATCAACCCTCAGCACAACCCGACCTATGCGATTCTGGACAATGGATGTACCAGATCTATGGGCAGCTGGCATGCAATCCAGCGTTTTACTCAGGCCATCGAACCAATGAAGGACATCATCTCCTATCAGTACATCCCGGCCGAGACCAAGTTCACTTTTGCAAACGGAGAGACCGCCAGGGTAAATTGGACCCTGCATCTTCGATATCACACAACTCCTCCATGCAGTACCAACATCGACGTCCTTGAACAAGGAACTGTACCGATCCTCCTCAGCATCAGTCAGATGCGGAACCTCTACATGACCATCGAGCACACACCTCAATGTGACAAGATCACATGCAAGGCCTTTGGCATGAACCGTCAAGCAGTTCCAGTATCCGGTACAGGACATGCACTCGTCGATCTCGCTGGAGTTGCAAGAGTGAAGGCACATGGAGAAATTGCTCACAAGGGCCTCACCAACTATGTCTATGACGATGATAACAGCATCAAGTTTCCCTCCGGGGATCTCACCAAGAGCGAAACTGTTTGTGCAGCAAAATCATCCGAGACAAAGGAGGACCTAGCAACTCCTAAGATCATTGGGTCTCAAAAGCAGGACCATTGGATCCTTGACAAGAAGAACAAGCAGCTCATCCGTGTGCACATCACGCCCCGAAAGGCGCTGTTCACACCAAATTGAGCCAAGGAGTGTCCAGTCAATCCTGACAACAGAAGCCGAGAGCGTACTACGGAAATCATGGATGCATCCGCAGGTGGATCCAGACATCCTAGAAGACACTTGGAGACTTACATCCCAGGCAAATAAACCCATGATTAACCTGTGGATAGGTAAGACCATTTTCACCTTCGCGGACAATTCGCTTAAGGACGAAGAAGCAGGTTCAGGATCGGCAGCAGACAGGATCATCGACAAGAGGGGCCGGTCGACCATAGCCAGATCCTTTCGCACCATCCTCAGAAGAACCAACATCGCTTCCGCTTGCCCTAGGCAGAATCCACAAGCGATTGTCAAATCCCGAAGAGTTGAAGAAGCTCCACCTACAGCATCATCACATGACAACAGTTCAATTTCGATTGAGAACCCGCGCACTTCATTTGCCGAAATCAACATTCGATCTATTTGACAAAATCCGAAGTGAGTGTGAAGTTTGCCAAGCGGCAAAACATGCACCATCACGAAGCAAAACAAGTGGACTTCGAGCGGACACCTTTGGTGACATGACATTCATTGATCACTGTCAAGTTCCTCTTGGAACGGGAGAACACATCATTGTTTTTGTCATCCTGGATGGAGCAACAACAGTGCTCGCTGCAGAAGAAGTCGAGAACATCACTGTCCTCAGGAACTATTTTGACCAGTACCACTTGCAAGCCCAAATCAGTTGTTGCAGATCAAGCCTTCATGACAGAGACATGGGAACATTTCTATCAGTCCCTTGACATCACACCGATATCCTTGGGACCGAATACACCATGGCCAAATCGAGCTGAGGCAGCAGTTCGACTCCTGAAGGCACAACTCAAGATCATGCTAAGTTCCATAAAGGCAGGTACGGCACCTGCAACACTGAAGAAAGTGACATACAGGCAGCTAGCGAAGGCCGCTGCAACTGTCAGGAATCAGACCGTCACCTACGGGGGTGTAACACCATTGGAGCTCGCATTCGGGAGACGACCAGCAGATCTCATCCAACTCGATGTCGCAACACCAACTCAGTTGACGATTGACAGGAATGAAGAAGAGCTGACAGCCATCCAGATCAAACAGCTGTCCAAGCAAGCTTTCCAAGAAGCACGTCAACCCGAAGACATCCGACGAGACCTTGCTCAAAATCTCCGAATGAGTTCTAAGCCTCTTCAGGTGAAGGACAAGGTATTCTACTGGCAGGAAGACAAATCCAAGATCCGTTCCGATGGAAGCAAGGGAGGAATATGGCTGAAAGGAAAGGTCATTTCCATTGAAGAAGCGATGGTAGGACTTGATCTTGGGACTCGACTCATCAAGGTTAACATGACGAAGGTCAGAAAGGATGAAACCATCCCTCCGAAAAAACCAGGAATTGATCTTCTGTTACCAGAAGAGCGAGAATCCTTGCAGAAGGAGCAAACCGGCTCCTCTGCTGACGCCAAGAAAAAGGAGTCATCCGCACCAGCTCCCAAGCCAAGATCCTCAGTGCCATTACGCATCGCGGGAAAGACAACTCCCAAACCTGCAGAACCTCATCCGGCAGAGAACATGTTCGTCGAGGACCTCACATCCGTTCCTGAACAAGCACATTGGAATTGTGTGCGTAAAGGAAAGATCCACGCTCTCGAGATCTTTGCAGGAAGTGCCAGATTCAGTCAATGCTGCGCGCTATCAGGTCTTAAGGTTGGGACTCCCGTAGATATCCGCACCGGATATGACGTAATGACATCCAAGGGACGACACATGGTCATGGAGATCATCAGAGAACAAGCGCCTGATGTCATCCTAATGGCACCGGTCTGTGGACCATGGTCAAATATGCAGAACATCCAACAAGACCAACAAAAGGTCGGGGAAAAGCGGAGACGCTACCTTCCCATGATTGAATTTGTGGCATCCATTGCGCGATATCAGTTGAAGCACAGAAGATACTTCATCATTGAAAATCCTCAGACATCCAGGATATGGTATCTGAAATGCATGCAGCAATTGTTTTCAGATCCATCCGTGACCTGGGGAGATTTCCATTTCTGCGCTAAAAGATCCTGAATCCGGGCTCAGAAGTCTCAAGCCCACGAGCTTGATGCACTGCTTACCTCCCGAGGTAATGAGACCGATCTTCCGAAGGTGTAAAATTTTTTCCAGCTCAGTCAAACATACATCAACCCCTCGAGGGAAACGCTGGTACTTTCGGAAGCAGGACTAAACTGGCACAGGTGTATCCTTACCAGTTCTGTCAGGATCTCGCGCATATACTCCTGCGACGCTTGCAGGTGAAACCGCTTGACAACGAGGTGTACCTCTTCG